CCGTGGTTTGCGCCTCTGAACGGACGCGGCCGCACGTCCCAGGCATCTGTTTATCTCCGAGGAGTGGCCGGTCCGGTGGATGCGTGGATGCGTCGGAAGCGCGCGCTGTGCTGCCATGGGGGAGAGCGAGGGAGAGCATGTGTGATCTGGCTGCGCCGATCAGGGAGACCACCACTCGGCAGTTGGCAGACTCCCCGTCAGCGGGACGACTAGTGTGCCTGTATTGCCAGGCAGATTGCAGCCAGCGCCTCCACTCCCCTCTCTTGTCCGGCGTCATTGAGATAAGCGGCACGCCATGTTTGGTGACGTTGAAGGTGGGGGACGGACCGATGGACGACAGTGAACCGTGATGTGTCTGGCATAGATACTGTGTTCTATTGCTCGTATACAAATCACCCGACGGGCTTCGAGGGCCCACAGTGTGCGCGGCTAAGTTTTGTTGTTTGGCAAATCGTCGGAAAGTTCTCGGGATAACCCCCCAGGCCTAAAGTTGCAGCATCTCCACTCAAATCGGGGTTAAAGCCCTCCCTGTCGGCCGCTCCCAGTGGCGCATCTGGGGCGCGCGGACCACCGGCACACCGGGCAGGGCAGGCCAGCAAGCCACAGCACATCACCCCAGGCGGCCAAACCGAGCTTGTTTGGCTCATGATGCAGGTGCAGATTTCCATACTGCAGAGGCGTGCGTTGAGAAAGAGAGCGCACGACAGGATGACAAAAAAACAACCCAAAAAAACAAAAAGTACTTTTTCCCCGGCTGGCTGGCTGGCTTGTCATGCAGCATGCAACGTGCCGGCCACGACGGCCCTAGCACCACGTTCTCGTGCGCTGACAAAGTCAATAGGCGGGCGGGACTGGAGCGATTGCATTCTGGAAGCCGCCGCAAATGCCCGGCCCTTCTCCGGCCAGTCCCTCTGTCCGCGTTTTAGACAGGCGTCAGGCGAGGGGCGTGCGTGCGTCGTCTTGTCCCTGGGGCGTCGCCACCTGTGGTGCGTGCCAAAGGGGAAAAAGGAAGAAAGCTGTTGTTGTGTGACTGAGATTTGAGAATGGTAGGCCTGGTCTGGGACAACCATTTACTTCCAAGCCAGGTGCTCTGGGCAGGCCGGCCGGGAGTCGCTTGCTGGCATTCGGGCCTTCAGGTCTTCAGGAGGGGACCGTGTCAGCAAGTCGCCGTCGCAGTGGGGAAGATTTTAGGAAGATGCAAGAAAACGTTCCACCTGAGACCCGGCTCGCCCGCTCCGGATGTCACGGGTGGGCGGGCATGGGCAACGTCTCGGCCCTGCTTTGGTCGTGTCCGCGTCCTTGTTGGTGTCACCCATCGGCCGCGTCACCACTGCCGTCGCCGCCGTCTCCGTCGCCGCCGTCACCCATCTGATAAACACACCCACCCGCCAGGGCGTCGTCCTTCCTGAGACATGCATGCAGACAGGTGGGCGGGCAGAAAGATAAGGCCGGATGGCAGAAACAAGAAGAGGTTGGCTGCCCGTGGACCGTGGCCTATCCTCGCTGGCTAGGTCACATGCAGGCACTGTGTCGTGTCATATCGTGTGCTGCCGCCTCGCTCCCCCGTTCCTCGTTGTTGTCCACCCATCATCGTATGTTTGCCTATCTCCCCGACGCCATTGCAGGCCACGCGCTCGAATTGCAGGAACCCGCAGCAGCCTCCCCTCCTGGCCAAAGATCGTCGCCAGAAGCACCCCTGCCTGGGCGGCCAAACTCTACTAGTATGCATCTGTAGAGGTCGAACCCGTGTGCCTGTTTGCTGCTGAGAAATGCCCATGAGCCTTTCGGGCCGATGAGGCCAGCCGCCCTTGGGGGGGGCCCGCCCGCCCTCCAGGCTCTCCCGCGCTGGCCGCCTGCCCGTATTGGCTGTGTGCCAAAAAGAGCAGGATCCCCATCATCGCCTGGGCTGAGGCAGCGCCCGTGGAATGCCCAGCGCTCTGTCAACCCTCTTGACAAGGGATTCAAGCACGGCCGAGTGCCGAGCAGCCTTCCCAAATGCGGAAGCAAACCCGGCGCCATTGCTTCTTCCATCTCATCCAACACAGCTCCTTTCTCCTGATGTTCGTGCGGCGGCCGTTCCTCGTCCCCCTAAGCTGGGGGCTAGTGTCGGCCTGATAAGATGCGCTTCCGCCCGAGTCGCGACCTGGAAACATCGACAGCGGCCGGCGCCGCGTTTATCTCTCTCCCCATCGGTTGTCTCGTAAAACCCACCGCTTTTGCGGCATGTTTCCTCGCTGCCTCGACCCGTCACGGCGTGAACATGGCCTGGAGATAGCAAAAGGAGGTGTGAACGTCTGGCCCCGATGCGTTGTTTCCGTCCCGACTCTCGTGTTACGCACTTGCTTTTTCTTTCTCCCCCGTCAGCCGCTATTTCTTTTCTTGGACTGCCCTTGCTTTTCCTGCCCGCCTTTTTTTTCTTCTTCCCCTTTTGCTCTCTTGATTTTTTGATTTCTTTGCTTCTCTTCACTTTGCCTTTTCTTTTTGTGACGATCCTGCCTTATATGGCACGTACCCACAGCGCGGGAAACCTAGACGGCTCGGCTGAACCTGCCAGTCAGCTCGACAAGCCGGCAGCCCATGCATGCCAGCCCCCCTGCATGGCTCAAAAGCGCTCGTTCTGTGGCTTGCGCGGGGAAGGCGTGGGCCGGCAGCCAATTTTAAAGAGTGCACTAGTCCAGGCGATGCCGTGTCAGCCAGGACGGCGGCGCGTGCTTGTGCCTGTATCTGAGACGGCCGGAGCTGAGTGTCGCGAGGGGACGGACAAGCGTCCTCCGAGCCGGGCTCCGGAGCAGGTTTCCGGAGTACACCAGGCGCTGCAACTCAACTCTCAACTGCGGGCGACAAAAATTCCGGCTACCCTAGGTTGCGGTCCGGTCGGGATGCGGCGGGGGCATGACATAGCCCAAGAGGGAGATGGGAGATGGAGAGAGAATTGCTACCTACACAGTGCCCCTCCACCCTCCACTCCCCTCCTGTGTGTGATCTCCACTCCCATATTCTCAGCCCCAGCTTCCTCTTGCGGCTTTGGAGCGGATGCTGAACTCCACAAAAACGGCCCATCCATTCCGATTGTTCTTCCATTGGCTTCTGCGGGGGGCGCCATGCTACACATCGAGGCTCGTCCGCCGTCTTTCTCTCGCGTCCCACAGCACACATAGCACGGCGGAGCTCCTCTTGTCGGCCGTCCCAGCGTGCCCAGCGCCTGTCATGGGACCAGCCATGTGCCGGTGCCGTTTGGGCGGGCACGGCCAGCATGTCACACGGCATGCGCGCCCTAACCCAGTCGGGGTTTTATGGCTTCTATATTTGGCTCAAACGCCTACATGGGACCACCCGCTCTCCTTTTGGCTCTCCCTGTGGCTCTCGTTTTGGCCTTGGCCGTCCCGACTGTCCTCCATAGCCTTTCCTTATTCGCAACGACGTTGCGAAGCGGTTGGGCCTTCGTCGTCTGCCATCCTGGCCTGTCGGCCTTCTGGAACGCGAAGATGGGCCCAATATCGATTCCACTTGAGCCGCCGAGCCGGCCACATGATTTTCATCAGTTGGGGTGGCAGCCCGGCTTCATTGATTGATTGATTGATTGACCAGCATCAATCATTGTCCGCCTGCTCCAGCAGATGCGACCTTCCTGACACCCCCCTGCCCCTCACGTCACGGCTGCTTTGGGTCGTGACCCTCCCGCCTGTTTGCTACCGGCCGAGATTACTATTGTATTGAGCCAAGACCCCCTTTTCGGCCAACCGTGGCTCCATGGGGAGGGTCGAGCTTTTTTGCCGTCGAGCCTCGCTATCTTGACTGTCTCTTGGGTTGCTGTCTCCTAGGCCTGCGTCCAATGTCGGATGAGGGGTTTACTGCGGCATGACCGAGGCACAGCCATCTTTCTCTGTCACCGGCACCAGGAGGACAACGGAAGCAGTCGAGACACCAGATGGGCCGTGGTATCGATCCGACCCCTCGGTCCATAGACGCACGCTATCTCGTTCCATCTCCATCTCCGTCTCCCACTCACACACACGCACTGCATCCGGTTAGAAATCGCTGTGGGCCCTATGCGATATCGCAGCCCTCAGGCTCGCCCATCGTTCCTTCTGTCGTGATTCATCATAATCCTCCCCGCGCCCTGAGCACCAGAGCACCAGAACACCGCAGTACCTGACATCTTGTGGCTGGCTTCCTGTGCCTGGTCTGTTCTGCCTGTCCATGGTACCCAACCCGCCAACCGGGCTAGGTGTCCAGGCTAGGTGTCTAGGCTAGGTGTCTAGGCTAGGTGTCCAGGCTAGGTGGCCAGGTGGGCGACCGGGCTGCCTGGTATCTATCCGTCATCCATCATCAATTGGGTGTTCAGCCGGCCCTGCGCATCCCCACTCCCCACCTTGCCTCCCCATCTCGGCCTCCAACCTGGCGGGCTCAGAGCTGAGCACGATTTGCTTGGCGGGCCATCTTACTCGAAGAGCTGTTTGGAAACATTGGAGAAGGGCGGCATGCGTCGTGCCTGTCCTGCCTGCCTGGTCATCACCCTCCTCCCCTCGCCGCGCCGCTTTGTCCCACCCGTCGCCCAAATTCATGCGACATAATTTGCATAATCAGCTCCGTGTGCAGCCTTTCCGACTGCCAGACCAAGTGCCTTCACACCATATCGCTGTATTGGCCCGCCCAGTCATTCATCCAGCGGCCCAAGTCGTCCTTGGTACCAACTGGCCCTCCCTTGTTGTCTGGTTTCGGTAACAGCACACGTCTAGACCACGTGCCTCGTCTCCCACCGCGCCCCTCGACGCACGCTTCCTGATTGCCCACCTCTCCCGCTGTACCGCACCCGCACCCCCGAGCTGAGCCCACAGCTCAAGCCCTACGACGCGCCCACCATCGCTTTTCCGCCCTCTCCCAGTCTTGGTGTTTCGCCCCCGTCTGTTTTCTCGTTGTGCCTATTCGGCTGGACTGTCGATCGGGAATCTCTGTGTGTTTGGTTTTCGGACCTTTCCGTCGGCGGCGCCTCACGGGACCTGTTCTACCAACGACCACCCCTCCGGGTCCGCTAGGCTGCCGTACCTCGCTTGGGGAACGGATATGCCCGACAATCTGTCACGCACCCGCATTTCCGCCTAGGCTTTTTTTTCTGCTGCTCGCCATTGGGGGGATTTTTCTTTTTTTGTCTCCTTGCCCTATTGGCTTCTCCTTTGCTCGTCCGCCCTTGTGAGGTACCTATTGCTGGGGCTCCCACGCATCACGTCACTCTTTCCATTCTTGTTCTTCTCCTGCTCTTCGTCTTTGACACTGCCCTGCCGTCGCGTCTCAATCGGCTGGCCCCTCGCACCCGTATCTATTTATAAACCACCTACACACAGACGGCGCGCACGACTGCACCATGGCAGCTCCACCAAAGCCGGCACCCTCGGTTGTCACGGGACTCCCGCCGGCTGAGGATGCGGAGAAGCTCAACGTGGTCGAGACTCCCACGTCGCCCTCATCCGGCCTGGCCCTATCACGCTTCGAGTTCGAGACGGGAAAGGGGAATGAGGGAACCAAGATCCTCATGGTGGATTGGGACCCATCTGCCGCGGCCCGTGGCCCGCAGGGCGGATCGACGTCCATATCTGAGGCCGACATCGGCGACCCTTCTGCTGACTGGGAGGTTTCCTGGGAGGGCAAGACCACCGTTCTGCCCATCCGCGACTCGGACTCCTCCGAGGGCGGCGCCAACCGGCGCGTCTACTTCCTTCTACCGCCCGGCGCCCCCATCCCGCCGCTGGTGACCATATCCAAGGGCAAAGCCGTTGCCGCGCTGCACACCAAGCCCATGCCCGCCATCTTCCACCCGGGCCTCGGGGTGGAGTCGAGGGACGTTGGCACGCGGGGCGTCCTGCACACCATCTGGGCCAAGAAGCGGCTCTCGGAACTGCAGGCCGAGGCCGACCGCGAGATGAAGGCCAACGGCGAGAGCGTCGGGCTCGAGATGGCCCTGCAGGAGAGGCAGTGGATCATCGAGCACTTTGGCCTCCCGATCCCCGTCGTCGGGGCTGCCAGCCGGGCCCCGCCGACGACCCCCATCAGCCCCACCCAACCTCGTTCGCCCATCATCGGGAGGCTCGGCGAGAAGTTGAAGGGCCTGAGGCTAGCCACCTCGCCCACGGACCTGGCTGCCGCATCACAAGGTAATTCATCCCTCTCTCGCTGCTGCGTCTTGGATATCCAGGACAACGACCCAGGTATGCCGAGGGTACGCTAACCAGCGTCTCGTGGGGCTCCTGTCTTTTTCCAACAATAGCCGCCAGACAAGCGCAAATCTCGTCGCTATCGCCGCAGGCCGCCGACGTTGCCGTGTCATCGTACTCGATGTTCCATGAGCGGAGCGCACATGGCGCCGCAGCCGAAAACGCCGGGGTCGCCTCTCTCGACGCCATCATTGGGGGAGGCCCAGGGGCGGCCGTGGTGGGCGGCGGGCCAGTCGGCTCCCTCAAAGACGCCGATACGGAAGAGGACCTGTTCGCCCTGCCCATGAGCCCCCGGAGTCCCGAGATGAAGAGGAGTCCGTTCAGTATGCTGTGATGGGCGTGGGCTCTCGTACCTCTTGTGGGCTTTTGTGTGAAAAAAAAAAAAGTTGGAATGGATGAGTTCATGACTAGATGCCGCCCAGGAAAACTATGTATCATTTGGTTAGAAGCACACTCGGGTTTGGCCGGGGATTCATTTCGGCCGAGCAGAAAGGTTGGCGTAGTTTTTGTTCTTCTATTTGACCGTCTTCTGGCAGGTGCGTCAGGTTTCTTTAGAATAATGCGCCTCGGGGTGGCAACAGCCTCGCCATGTTCAGGCTACTGCCGAGAATCCCCGCGCAAATCGTAGGGGCCGTTCTCATGACCAATAATGCAAAATCGCGTCCCCAAGGAGTTTTGCCGCGTGTCCTCTCACTCTATTATGAGCTCCCAAAAGAAACATGCACAAGGAAGAAGGTCTCTTTACCGACCCTCAGCGCCACCCGCCGACGCGCCCCTCGTCCCACCTCTCCTTGCGCTCCCGCCTCAGGTACAGCAGCTTCCTCGCCTCGCGGTACTGCCGCACCCAGTCGAGCGTCTCCCTCTCTGTCGCGGGGGCGTCGTTGTCCCGACCACCACCACCACCACCACCACCACCACCACCGCCGCCGCCGCCGCGCCGCCTCCTGCTACCTCCGTCGTCGTCATCGTCGTCGCCCCCATCATCATCCTCACCGCCACCCCCGCGTCGCCCACCATACTGCTGCTGCTGCTGCTGCTGCTGCTGCTGCTGCTGCTGCTGCCGCTGCCGCCGGTGCTGCTGCCGGTCAAGAAAGCTCTCCTCGAGCGCGTCGCACACGGCCGCCTGCTCCTGGCACGCCTGCGCGAGGCGGAGGTACAGGCCGTCGGGCGCAAAGGGCGCGAGCGCCGCGTCGGCGTCGCGCAGGCGCGCGTGCCACTGGCGCTCGAGCGCGCGCGCCCCGAGCAGCT